CGGACTGTTGCCTGACCCCTCGTTCAAATTCATTTCTCCAATCGTTAAGGCGTTTAATGTCCTCTTTATTCAGGAACGTAGTTGGCTCTCGTGGCACCGGAAGAAAGTCTTCGTACTTGATTGAAAACTGTGATGGTAGCTCATTGTGTTGTTTCTCCCGAGTGAAGCAAATATAACCAGACCAAGCAATTCTCTTTAGGGTCTCATCTGCTGCGTCAACGAACTTCCTCGCAAAATCCAGCACAGTAGGTGTCTCTGTCACCTGTTGCATTTCACCATTGAAACACTCGTTAACGAGTGTAAGAAATATTCTTACATCAACCACTTCGAGCTGATGAGGACATTCTTTACTTAATCGCGTTCGGAGGCGATGGAGGAAGTTCTTGATAAAAGTTACTGAAGCGATTGTCTTCTCAGCTGGGGTTCCCTGCGTCTAAAAGTGGACCTTTCCGCACTCTCCGGCGCGCTCACTCAAGCGGCATTCCTTTGAAACAAGTTTGCACCACGAGGCAAAATCTTCAGTAATTTGGGAGGTGCAGTCATAAGGAGTGAGCTCCCAAGAAGGTCTTCCATGAATGGATTTTTCGAGGCACCAACGGAAAATGCTGAGACCGATTAATATGGTCTTTGACGACATTTGTCACAATTGACCTGAATGACCCTGAATCACTTTCTTTGTTGGAGATTTTCGACAGCTACAACTTATCAGACACTGTACATGTCATGCTATCTCATGACGAATGACGTAATCAATTTGAAGGGATTCACAAATTTACCGGAAGTAATGCTGTTTTTCCAGCCCGGATACAAATTTACGTTTTCTTGCCTCCGAAAATGTTTTTAGCATTGGTAGATGTTAACTGGAAATTTCAAAACCTTGCTAGATAAGTGTTTATGATTGAGTAATACTCAGTAATAAACAACAAACTATCGCCTTATTTATTTCTGCTCTCGGTTACCGCCCTCATGTCGATACCGCTTCCCGCCCGTCGTTCTCCCGCTTCCCTCCCTCTCCCGCCCCTTGTTCTCCCACTTCCCTCCTTCTCCCGCCCCTTGTTCTCCCGCTTCCCTCCCTCTCCCGCACCTTGTTCTCCCGCTTCCCTCCCTCTCCCGCTCCTTGTTCTCCCGCTTCCCTCCCTCTTCCGCCCCTTGTTCTTCCGCTTCCCTCGCTCTCCCGCTCCTTGTTCTCCCGCATCCCTCCCTCTCCCGCCCCTTTTTCTCCCGCTTCCCTCCCTCTCCCGCTCCTTGTTCTCCCGCTTCCCTCCCTCTCCCGCTCCTTGTTCTCCCGCTTCCCTCCCTCTCCCGCCCCTTGTTCTCCCGCTTCCCTCCCTCTCCCGCTCCTTGTTCTCCCGCTTCCCTCCCTCTCCTATCCCTTGTTTTCCCGAGCTCCCCCCCCTGTCCCCCTCCCCTATGGCTGTAGGTGGATATTGAACCCGGGTTGGTGTGACCTGTTAGCTCGGAGATTGTTTTTTCTGGGCCGTGCTCACAAGATTTTCTCGCTTTCGCGTTGTCACGACCGAAAGAGGGTTTTCATGCCTCTCCAAGAATTTATAGTTCAGTTCAAAACAAGGAAGAAACTCAGGCTCACTTTGAGAAACGCTTTTTTGTTTCTGGTTCTTTAAAAGGTAACAATGGTTTTGAAAACATTTTAAATTGACTCAGAAACCAAACTTTGTAACGATTTGACGATAGTTGCTATGCTTACGTAGATGCGAAACAATTTCACTTAGCCTCGTTTTCAACTCGCAATTCTAAAGAAAAATTCATTACCTGACTCGTGAATTCCGCGATAAATTGCACTTGAAAACCGATATACTCCGCAAAGGACTAGAAATACGGAACGCTTTACCCCCCTTTAATTACCTCTCCATCCCAATTTATCTTCCCTCGAAGGAAAGTTTTCTCAATTACTCTAACAAAAACAAACAAAAAAACAAACAATTAACGGAAAAAAAAAAACAAGAAAAGTAAACAAATGAACAATCCAAAAAACGGACAGTCGTCAGAATTTGTGATGTTCTTCAGTCTCGCCATCTGATATTTGTAATTTATTGATGGTTTACGAGTCATTGAAGGGACCTCTTGATTTTACCCCAGGGTATCTTAAGGTGTCCACACTACTTATTTCATATTTCAATATATTCTTTGTCAAGTTTATGGTTTTGAGTAAACTTGAACTTGACTCCATAAAGTTAGTGTGACGGAGTACTCTCCCGTTGAACGTTCCAAAACCAAAACAAGAGTGATCATAAAGTCCAAGCAGAAGAAAGAAATGTATCATTAGGAGCCAATGAAAACCCGATGTAAAAACAAACAACCTGCCTGAGGCGCGGGGAAACCCCAGTGATCAAGCTAGGAATGGTTTTAGTTTGCGTCTGATTAGTTAAGTGATTGGCGCGAACTTTCTTGACCAATCACAGAGTGTACAGAGGTCTACAGAAACGAAACCAATGCAATCCCGTATCGCTTTCGACATTTAGTTGAAGTTGGTTAACCAAATATTTATCTTCTTAGATTCCAGCAAATTAGTTTCATCAAAATTTATACGAACCCTCCTATTACGTATAATAATAATAATAATAATAATAATATTATTATTATTATTTTTATTATTATTATTATTATTTAAAACACGCGCAGGAGATTAAGAAGGAGGTGCGGAGGTGCCAAATTGAGAAGTTATAGGATAAGATCAGAAACCAACGATGGCAAGGGCGTCTTGTGACTACCAGGCTAGAGGATGAGAGTTTGAGTGCCGATAGGTGTTTCTGGTGGCTCACAGAGTGGAAGAACTACCCATCACACACAATTGCTGGACTCGTCGAGCTATACGAGCAGCTCTTGCTGACGCGAGTATACATCAGTCAGAAGACC